CTTCAGACTTGCACTTTATTAATTGGCTCAAAATTAACATTTTCAAAATTTTTCTAAAAGATCTAATTGAAATTGTGATCGGATGAAAGAGCCTCCGGCCAATAATTTTGTACGGCACTGTACGTACTTATAAGTCTAGGTTGTCATGAAAGAAAAAAATTTAAGTACAAGATAACATTAAAATATCAGTAATATTTTTCGTTGCTGTGAACTTGTTTCAAAACTTATGTCTTTTCCTTAATATAATTGTAAAACTCTGTGTACGTCATTTTACAACGTATTTAGGTACATATACTAATCATCAACTATTGCTTGTGCAAAGTTCAACTATCTCGAAATGTAACTATTTCACAAATTAAACCGGTGCACTGAGCGAAAGAAGTTTAGAATTAAAAAAGGTGCTAAATTAAAAAAATACGCATATGAAAGAGCACCAACCCAACTCACAATACATTTAAGTGTACAAATTTTAGTATTTAGTATATAGAAATATTCAATTCAAATACGCCCGTATTAAATTGAAGCAATTTGCAATTACCGATTGCTTTTTCATAATTAAGTTAAAAAAAATATTTAAATTCAATGCTGGTTGTAATGGGAATTGAACCTTGATCCTTTGGAAATTAGCAAATTGTGGAAAGCATCTTCGCGCAATCACTACAGCCAGACATGTAAATGTGCATTTAAATGTTGAGTTTGAATCAATACCACGCGTGCGTGTTATGAAAGTATTATTTTTAAATACGAACATTTTTAAACGATAAAAGAATAGAAAATATTCATGTTTACTATGCGTTATTTCCCTCAGTGAATTCATAACATTTTTCTGAATATTACAACGCGTTTTTTCTCTTATTGTAGTGATTTTTGAACTTTTATTCAAATTTGTGCAATCAAATCAAAAACCGGGACACTAAAACGAATCCGGGGACATTTTAAAGTTGGACCGGGACACCGGGACAAATAGTCTAAAACCGGGACATGCCCGGAACAGAGCAGAGGAGTTAACATCACGTCCACTATGAATAACATAAAGTTAACATCTCGCCATAAACACACATCGAGATCAGCGTTGCCGCGAGCTTGAAAAAAAATGTATCAGTTGCCAAGCAGAAAAAGTATCGAAAGCAAAAAAACTGTTGTTTGTTAAACTATTATTTAAAAAACAAATAATAAATAAAATTTTATAATTAAATCCATAGTTATAAAAAAAATTATATTTCTTGCTTTTGTCTGCTTATTTGCATAATGAAAAACAAACTTATAGAGCCCCTAAACCACACAAAATCCTTGCGCAACCCGAGACTTGTACAAGTCAATATTGTGGAATTTACTACAGCATAAAATTGCGCAAACCTTATTTTGAAGAAACGTTGCTCAAGTAAATATATGCAAGAAATATGAATGTGCGTTGTATATATTGATAGCTTCATCTTTAAAACGTAAAAAAAAACTAAATTAAAAATTTTTTTTTCGATATTTCGTAATGTTTTTGTGTGGTTTAGGGGTCCTATAACAGTGGCGTGTGCAAAGAAATTCCGGGTTGTTTCACTTAAAAGAGTTACCAAATCAACTTATAAATATCTATATATAAATTGTCACATTTCAAATAACAAGAAAAAAAATATTAGCCTTTAGACTAGTAGTACTATTCATAGTTTTCGAAAATTCATTTCTGTCAGCCGAAAGTATCAAAATACGGCATTTGGGAAGAAAAAAGGATCAGATATTAAAATTCAGAAAAACAGTATTAAAAAATATACAATTGTACCAAAACGGCAACGCTGATCGTGATGGAAAACGTAGTTAACATCTTGTGGTCATAGCGACGATGGAATTAACATCGTCAGCCGAGTGAAAATACTGCTAAAGTAACAGAGGCAGCGCCGCCTGTAATACCCTTGCTTGCCTCACCGCTCGTGCCATAAATTCAAATTGGTTGGATAGTCGACATGCGTCTTCTGTATACTGTTTATTCTGTGGTTCGACCAATGAATCGGCCGATGCCGAGGCTAGTATCGGCCAAAAGAATCTGAATCGGCCGTTTTTGGCCGATTCTTGAATGAGGTATTGTTGTTTGGTTATTTGATTATGTTTTTCCTTTGTTATTAAAAAACTTTATAAAAGCATTTGTCCTTAGAATGCAATCATATTCAGGATATAATCGGCCTGATATTCAAAAAAAAAGCAAAACAATTTTCGTTTTATCCTCCTACGCGTTTCGGCGTTGTTTTTTTTTGCCTTCCTCAGGGAGTCTGTTTTTATTAATTTCTAATTAAGCATAAAAAAACCAGCCCATTAGATACAATATAATATATTACAATATGAAAACAATAGGCCTCTTCAGGATCTTGTACATATGCTCTTGCATTTGTAAATTCACAACAATAAAATGCACACGGTTGCCATGGCAGCAAGCATTAAATTTGAAAATGCAATTCCAACTGAAAATCCATGACCATTTTCACAACATCCTGAACAGCCCTAATTGACTAGCATGCACACATAGATGAATAAAATTGTAAACGATACACGATACAGATGTAAGTGTCATTAACAAGTGTTAATAATTTTATTCATGTACGTGTGTATGTTAACTAGTCGTGTTTATATTGTAATATGTTATATTGAATCTAATAAGTTGTGTTTTCTATGTTTTATTCCAAATTAATAAAAACAGACTCCCATAAGAAGGCGAAAAACCACGCCGAAATGCTTGGGAGAATAAAAGGAAGCTTGTTTTTGCTCTTTTAAAATACCGGCCGGAAAAACTTCTAGAATAGCTAAAAGATATACAGTTTAATCCATAGTTTATGGTATTAAACCAATGCATAACTTTATCTCTCTGTCTTAAATGTAAACTTCTCATTGTGTTTTTTGTTGAATGAGTCTTCTCCAAACTAATTATTACTCAAACAATTTTGTTATCATATATGTATATATATTAAATTAAATGCAACAAATGTTATGCGGATATATTTGGAACTAATTCTCAAAGAATTTGATATTAATCTATTCCTTGCGATCTTTGTTTTGTCAAAGAACAAATAACAGAAACTGTACTAATAAATTGAAAATGTATAAATATGAAAATGTGTAAAATATTACTGATTTTTGTTCTTATTAATGTGATTATTGCATATCAAGCGCCCGTAAAAAATAAATATTTTAGTTTACCTCAAACAAGAAAAAACGCCACGAATATTTTAAAAGCGAAAAGAAGTGGAAAATTTCTATTTGATGCCATTTTTCGCATTAGCGCAGGAATTTCAAATGCATTTGGCTATGAAGGAGATGAGTATTCTGACTATAATGATGAAGTAGATATCAAGGCATGTGAATGCGGTAAGTATTCCAAACGCTTTGCAAATTTTGAATACTTACAGTTGCGAAAACATAAACAAGGACGTGACATATTAACAAGTTGTGGTTATTTTTCTTTTGTTTATTTAAACTTTATTATTTCTTTATGTAAGTATTACCCGTTTTCCAACCAAACCCATGTAAATCCAAATTTCAAATTTTGTACAAACATGAGGGAATAGTTTTTAGCCCATTCCATTTAAGTATAATAAAGTGCAAGTTTGAAGCAACTAGGGCTTACCGTTAATTTTTGACAATGTTTTTAAGGTGTCGCTCAGGTGTCATCTATATAAATGTATCTATATGAATCTATATATGGTAAAATGCGTAACATCGTCTACAAACAAACCAATTCCCAAAATCAACAGTAGGGGCTAGCTACTTCAAACTTGCACTATATATAGGGCTGCCAGACGTCCCGGTTTTCCCGGACATGTCCCGGTTTTAGACTATTTGTCCCGGTCCAACCTTAAAATGTCCCGGGTTTCGTTTTAGTGTCCCGGTTTTTGATTTGATTACACAAATTTGAATAAAAGTTCAAAAATCACTACAATAAGAGAAAAAAACGCGTTGTAATATTCAGAAAAATGTTATGAATTCACTGAGGGAAATAACGCATAGTAAACATGAATATTTTCTATTCTTTTATCGTTTAAAAATGTTCGTATTTAAAAATAATACTTTCATAACACGCACGCGTGGTGTTGATTCAAATTAAACATTTAAATGCACATTTACATGTCTGGCTGTAGTTGATTGCGCGAAGATGCTTTCCACAATTTGCTAATTTCCAAAGGATCAAGGTTCAATTCCCATTACAACCAGCATTGAATTTAAATATTTTTTTTTAACTTAATTATGAAAAAGCAATCGGTAATTGCAAATTGCTTCAATTTAATACGGGCGTATTTGAATTGAATATTTCTATACTAAATACTAAAATTTGTACACTTAAATGTATTGTGAGTTGGGTTGGTGCTCTTTCATATGCGTATTTTTTTAATTTAGCACGCTTTTTTAATTCTAAACTTCTTTCGCTCAGTGCACCGGTTTAATTTGTGAAATAGTTACATTTCGAGATAGTTGAACTTTGCACAAGCAATAGTTGATGATTAGTATATGTACCTAAATACGTTGAAAATTACGTACACAGAGTTTTACAATTATATTAAGGAAAAGACATAAGTTTTGAAACAAGTTCACAGCAACGAAAAATATTACTGATATTTTAATGTTATCTTGTACTTAAATTTTTTTCTTTCATGAAACCTAGACTTATAAGTATGTACAGTGCCGTACAAAATTATTGGCCCGGAGGCTCTTTCATCCGATCACAATTTCTAATTAGATCTTTTAGAAAAATTTTGAAAATGTTAATTTTGAGCCAATTAATAAAGTGCAAGTCTGAAGTTGCCAGCAAATTTCGTTGATTTTTAGCATTTATTTTTTTTTTGCTGAGTGTCTTCCATATAAAACGAATTATCGAACATAGTTTGTATGGAAGAAACTCTCAGTAAAAACAATACCAAAAATCAACTTAAACTTAATGGGCTGGAAAACTTCATTTTAAAAATTTTTATAAAAAGTCTGATTAGAATGTTGCAAGTTTGTACAAAAATTTATTGAATTTTCCTGAGTTTGGAACAAAGTTTAAGAGACCCTCCCTAAAGGTNAAAAATTTATTGAATTTTCCTGAGTTTGGCACAAAGTTTAAGAGACCCTCCCTAAAGGTTCCCGGTTAGGCAACAGAGATATCTGGCAGCCCTAACTATATTATAAATTTGATGACCTATAAAACTGGGTACCAATTTTATTTTAAGTTTCTGATTAAAAAGCTCGATTTTTCGATGACATTTATCGAATTTTCCTAATTTTCGTAGAAAGTTTGAAATTCGAACTTACATGTTTTTGGTTAAACAGCGCGCTGCACTTTCATAAAAATATAATAAAAGCCAAAACTTTTTTAAATGTCGCGCCCTATTTAGGTTTTCGTCACCTTATGTACATTTACGGCTATTCCAAATAAAAGGGCTGTTTGCAGCTATCAAGGAAAATCGCAAGTAATATTTATCATTACTTCTGTTGGTTAAAAAAGTACTTTGCTTTGCTGTAAATTTTCTTGAAGAAATAACTATTCCAGCTTTTTTCGCGATCTGCAAACTGGTTTAAGAAATTTTTATAGAAGAAAATTTCTTTTCCATTTCTTGTGCGTAATCTTATAAGAATTTTTTGTTTATTTCTTGAGAGCTGCAAATAGCCCTTAAATGTAACAAGATTCTGTGTAATAGCCTTCGATTTGCCTAAACTTTTGCACACGGACTAATTTCATACTAAAAATGACAAAAATGGGTATTTCTTTTTATAAAATTGTTTTTTTTTTTTATGGGCGTGGCAAATATCAATAAAACAGTCAAGTTTGGCCAAAAAAATTCCTTATAAGAAAGCGATCTTTTATCATTGGAAAGGTAATGAATGAAGTTTTCTATCTACATTAACACTTTGGCGGCTATAGGGACATATGCGTCCCATACAAGAGTTATAGAAATATTGGCAATTAAAAAACCAATGTAAGACGAATTTTTAGTATCGGTTCCTTAACATACATTTAAGACTTTTTGTTCGCATTACATCAAAAATAACACGGGTGTATTCCTATGATCAATAGTAACGAACGTAATAATTTGTTTTTCGCGAAAGCAATACCTTTTGGCGAAGTGTTTTTTTAGTTTAAAAGTGTTTCTTTACTTTATCGAGTGTGAAATAATCTTTTCTGGTAAGTATTTGTCTATTGTATAGATTTATCAAACTATTATTCGTTCTGCGTAGATTGAAAACTCAATATATAGACAAGGGACGCCGATGTGGTCGTTAATGTGAACTAGTGAGCTTTATTTAGTTGACTTATTTTAATTTTCTTTCAAATTGTGCAGATTTTGTTACGTAAGGGGCGTTGAGTTTTCCAACTCATTGATAATGAGATTCAACAGATTGTAATGGTCGACGATAGTGACGACGAGGATGATTTACTGCTTGACGAAGAAGATCAAAGGCTTCTGACAAAGGATGGTGATGAAGGGGTTTCGGATGTAGAGATGGAAGATACTACACTTCAAGTTCAGCATTCACCTGAACCTTCAACTATAGAAAGGGATATCGAAGCACATTCCAATCATCAACCGGTTTTCAAATGGAGTCAGAGAACCTACGTACCAAATTTGTTAGAAGTGTGGGATATGAGTTTGGAAAGGTGCAAATATGGAAAGAAGTTAAAGCTGATACATTGACACCTTTTGATGTATTCTGTTCAACAACTTATCTTGGAGTTTAAGTTCGAAACATAGTAACAGAGTCAGATCGATACGCTCATCAAAACAAACGTGAACTCACCATTGAAGTCGAAGAAA